CTTCACAATTGTATACCACTTTGTGTTGGTCTTTCACATTAAATTCCAGTGAAATATATTTATGTTTGTGGTTGTAATGTGACAAAATATGGAAAAGTTCAAGGGGTATGAATACTTTTGCAAACCACTGTAAATAAAAGCCGCCACACCTTCGGAATGAAAGTTTTTTATTTTATTTTTTATTTTATTTTATTTTTTATCAACGTAAAACGGGTTGACGCAATCATTGTTTAGTTTGTCCGAGACAACCTATTTACGTTTCGGACAACGAGATCCCGCCTCCCAGTTGTCCGGTGGACAACCAAGAAAAAAAACCTGGACCTCCGCATRTGTTTGTCATTGTAAAAATGAACGGCAGAGAAAGAAACTTGTTAAAGCTGTCTAGGGATTAAACTGACTGTTCTTTCACCCAATAAAGAGAACCAAAGTCAAAGTTTTACCCACTCAGAACAGAGCAGGGCGGGTCGTATCGTTTGACTGACAGCGCTGCCTTTTTCCTCTCTCTGTGATGGAGGGTCAGCTCGGCTCAGGCGAACATGTCCCAGGAAAGCCCTCAGCGTTTCCTGGACTATTTCCACCGAGTATTATGTCATATTTTATATACACTGCTCAAAAAAATAAAGGGAACACTACTGCTCAAAAAAATAAAGGGAACACTAAAACAATGCACGCTAACTCCCGATCTTAATCAATGAAATATTCGCATTGAGTGCTTTGTTCTGTACAGAGTTGAATGTGCTTCACAAAAGTTTGATTTACTTGGACTTAGCGTGCGTTGTTTAAGTGTTCCCTTTATTTTTTTGAGCAGTAGTGTTCCCTTTATTTTTTTGAGCAGTAGTGTTCCCTTTATTTTTTTGAGCAGTGTATATAAATTATATTCCTAAAAGCAGCTCACAGCATTTCTACCGGAACACCGTGTGTTCACGACTCGAGCACAATAAAAACGCGACAGATCACCTGACTGTTTTTAAAGCGAGGGCTCAGGGAGGCAGCTTGACCAGCAGCTGCGCCTCTTCACGCACATCGCGGCTCCGACCAGCCCGGGACTTTAAAGTCCACATGTCAACCCCCTTTAGCATCAAAAATCTGTTATTTGCGCGTAAAAAAATCAGTATTAATCACACGCAGGTGGAGTGGAGGTGCAAGCGGACCGCAGCTGTGCGGGGTGGGGTGGGAGTCTTTTAAAGATGTGTCTACGTTTGACTTTAATTTTTTTCTAAAATCACAGAGTTCTGAGTCAGCTTCAGGTGCTTGTAGTTAATATCTTTTTAATTTAACCAAGTGTTTCAATGCCTTTAAATTACACAATAACTTTACTGGAGAGACTTGTCAGTTTGGTTAAAAAAAAGTAAAAGTAAATTAATTTTTCTGTACAAAGAACTTCCTCTGCTACAATTTTTTTTCAAATAAGCATATCAAGCCCCTCAGTTGAAAACACTAAAATGATAGAAAATATGTTTAAAAACCTCTTTCCTCCAAAAGTCTTCAGACCTAAGAACACTAAACTGTAACTTTTAATAAGGTCATGTACACAGTTTACTTCTATTTAAATAAAAATGTTTCACCTGTAAGCAGAAAGCTTATGGATGTTGATTTTTTTTTTTTTTTTTTTTTACCTCTATTTCAAAGAGGATGAGGAGGAGAACGAGGAAGTTCTCCTCAGGCAGCTCCTAAAACTGTTAACCTGCTGACTGAGATTACATTTGTATGTACTAAACTTTGTGTACATAACAATATACTTATGAAATTACATTAAAACAGCCCACCCCCCACCCCCCGGCTCGTGAGAGGTCACCACACCACCACGGTTAAAAGAAAAACCTAGGGGAAATCCTGAGTTGTATGGAGTCTTCAATTCAAGATATCTGCAATAAAATACTAATTACCAATTAAATTATGACTAATGCGACATTCAGTTTGACATATCTCAATTTTTGTTCTGATTAGTCATAATTTAATTAAATACATCTTAAATCACATCAGGTTTGTGGTACAGTAAATATTGGTGTTCTTGGCAGTTTTTTCTGCCATTTTTATTGTTCAGACCAATATCAAATTTATCAACTGAAATGATGATATAATAGGAGTTATATGGTAATATAAATTGTATCCACATTTTCCAGCCCTAATACGAAATGTCCTCAGTTTTATCACCTAAAATCTGTTTGTTCATAAGTTCCTTTTTTCAGAATTTCTGTGTAAAATCAGGTTTTAGTATTTTGGCTAAAGAGGTGGGACTATAAATGGATTTTGTTATATTCAGTGGTCAACACAGCAGCTGTTTGTGAGGCAGCAGGGGCTGGGCTTGTTTTTGGTTTGACTTTAATAAAACAAACAGACGCATCAGGCTCACAGCTCTTCTGTTATCAGTTGTTTGGAGGTTCTATCCAAGTGAAGAGGATGGTCTTCTAAATCTATAACATTCTGCTGTGTTTGCTTTGTTCATTGATTTACAAACTGTTCACACAGCACTGGTGCAGCGCGCTGTCAGCTAACAGWTTACTTTTCCATTTAGTTCAGTTCATTACAGGTGAAACGGTTCACCCTAAACATGATCTCTTAACCCCAGTGTTGAAGGATTTTTATCTCTGTGTTGGCTGTAGTAGTATATATTTAAATATTTATAAATATGTACAAATTACTTATTGTAAGAATAATATGTGTTTCTCTTACCCAGAAGAACTGGTAATTAAGGGTTTAGGAGCAGAAAAACAAACCACTCTTGCTGGTAGAGGTTGGTACTGTAGCAGGGCCACCATACTGCATGTTTTGTCTGTTTCTCTGCTCCAACATCCCGGATTTGGAAGGGTGATAAACAGCCTTCTGAAGTACTTGAAAAGGTTTCAGTCATCAAATAATGTGTGTGTGAGCAGGGAATGTGTAAAACATTCAGGGTAATGGCCTTTGAGGACCAGCAATGTCCACCCCTGGGCCACAAGACATTTGAAAAACTTGCAATACTACAGTATGATGACAATGTCAATTAAATTAAAGTACACCACCTCACTTTCTCTTCTTTACTTTCAGTTGTTTTTGATTTACACTTCATGCAAAATATAAGACAGTGCTTACTGAATATCTGTCATATTTGAAGGTGTCAGATAAATATAGTTATAAATAAATAAATGTAGTTTGTGAAATCCAGCTTTTTCCACTTAAGTCTCATTGTCAAGGTGAAGCCATATCTCCCTATCAAAGACCCTTAAAWGGTTTATTCATGCTTTTATTATCTCTCAGTTGGACTACTGTAAGTTGGTTTGGATAAATCTTTTGTTACTCACCATCCAAAATGCGTGTCTTTGACAGTTATTAAAAAACATGACCCTGGTCATGGCTTCTGTCTTCGGATTGAGTTGAAAATTTTGCTGCTTGCTTTTAAAGTTTTTAAATATCTGGAGTCTTGTCACGCGTACAAGTCGAAACAAAAGCTAACTTTTTTTTGTATTTGTATATTTAAATATTTGATCAAATTTCTAACTTTACCACTGTTTGCTGGGTTTATTTATTTATTTCGTATTTCTAAATTTTCAGATTTGCCCATAGAGCACAATCCTTCAGATCATCCTCGGGCCAGCACCATCTTTCTCAGCAAGTCACAAACTGATGGTAAGTTGTTTTTTTGTAGCAATATGCATCTCATTTCTTTGAAACATGTCTGTCCTGTTTGACCTGTCACATAAAACTACGAATTAAGTAGCAAATAGTGTATTGATGTAATGGACAGCTACATTGGATTGGTAGAAGAATTTGTAATAGTTGGATTTGGTCCAAAAAAATAAAATGTGTGTGTATGTATATATAATACCTTGTCTTTTGGTCCCTTGAAGGAAAATCAAAACGAAAATTACAGTGATTTTGAGAGACTTAATAAAAAACAAAACAGGATGCACCTTAAAATTAGCCCATGCCAGCTGCACTCTGGTCATTTTGTACACTTTAAGTCCAGAYTTAATGCTTGTTATGAATATCCTTGTCAAAAGCAAACATACAGACAACTTGGATTTTTATTTTTTCAGTTTTGGTGCCCAACAAGAGAGGTAAGCATGTAGGTGTGTCCRGTACCAAACAGCGGTTAACGCTGTGCTTACTGTGTGTTTGGGTTTGACTCTTTCAATAATGGCCTCTTCATGTAGCCTAAAGCTCTGTTGCTTTCATGTACTTTACCAATGTTGTCCTTTTGTTAGCCAGTTATGTGCATTTATTGCTGAGCTTTATTTCTGTGTATATGCTTCTTTCACTGCACATGTTGGTCCATGAGTACAGTTAWAAACATGGCTGCTTGGCCTTGTACAAAAATTTGACTTCTGTTGGCTTTCCTCAGTCAATTGTGAATAAACAAACTATACAGCTTGTATGCATTCAGATGCCCCTAYAGTYAGAGCTGTAGATTGATTTTCTATCRAAATMCTGAACCCCATTGAGATTGCTGCTTTTTTAAAAGCAGTGGATGATTTTAACTTTTCAGTGGAAAAACATGTGCATTATTGTGAAGGTGTCTGTCTGCTGCTGCTGAGGTAAGTTACAGAAGAGACATGAGAAGCACACAGTGATCCAGCACTTCTGTGTGTGATCATGCTTCCTCCTCCTGCTATAGTTTGCTTTGCTAGTATGTCTTTMATTGTTTTTAAGTTATGCTAATTCATGATAAATGTAATGAAGTCTTTCCGTCTATATTAAGAATATTGTTTTTCCAGGCTAGACATCTAAACTAAGTAAATAGTTATTAGAAAAAGAAGTGTGTTGATTGTCCTGTTGAAACACTGAACCAGACTCTAAGTAGCTAAAGTCTAGTACAGTGGTTCCCAAACTTTTTGTCTTCTGACCCACAAAATATCCATGGCAAAAACTTGTGACCCCAAATATTACTGGTCTGAGTACACGAACTTTGTTAATGACCCTAAAAAC